AGTTTTATGCGATTAAGTATTTGTAATCATATAATAAGAAAATGGATGAAATTAATTGATAGATCCAATCTCTCTCTCTGTACATTGTACAGAATATAACATTCATGAAGGGTCTAAATATTCATAAATTATGAATAATGATAGTGTGGCTTGCACCATATACTCGGTGTACTGTAAAGTACTTGACCCGCATTATAAAGTTCAAGAAAGAAAAATTGAATAGGAGTATATCATTTATGAATTATAATATAAGTAAAATCCAGCACGATTTAAGTATTGTTGGTTCAATTATTTTTTTTTAATGTGATTTTTTCTCCATCACAAGATTCTACTTATCGATTTTTCTTATAAAAGAAATTGAATTCCTTCACCCAACATGCTAATATTGCTAATAGAAATAGACTAGTAATACGATTTAAGAAAAATGACATTAAGGTCACAAAAGATCAATTTAATAAAAGTTAAATCGAAAAAAAAAATTGTTAAAAAATAAATTGCAAACATAATTTTAGACAATTGTTGGTAAGATATATTGTTAATTATGAACAATGTATTTAAATCTCACTAATCATTCTCAGTAATTCACAACTAAAATTTTTTGTGCCTAATTATAATTAAATTAATATTTTGGGATCCAAGTATAATTTCCCTTATGATTATAATTTTGGTTGAAAAGTATTAAAAAGTTAATTGAAGAAGAAATCGTGGTTTGACGGGGATTAATGGAATTAATTAATGCTTAATCAAGAGGTCATTTTCAAAGGGAGGGCATGATTATGGAAGTGTCAACATCACTGTTAAGTCACAGAGATGCCAAGTGAAACGGTATAATTTGTAAAACATATTAATATCGGCCCCCTAATTTCTTTAATTGCAAATCATTACAAATGGGACAATGATAGCTCCCTTGTATTGTATGGTCTTATGTCTCATCCAACTCACCCACTTCCATTACTTCTTCTTCTTCTTCTTTTTTTTTTGAAATTTTGCTCAAGCTTTAATTTTGACCACACCAACCAATTAAAGCTTAAAGCTGCTACAAGTGGAGAAATAATTCAGACCCATTAATTAAATTCAAGGTGCACTTATTTTACTTATCAAGAGAATTGAATCATTTCATTATGAAATTTGAATTAAAAGATATACATTTGCATTAAATAAAAATATTAAAAGCATCTCTTAGGTACTCATTAAGCTATCATTGTAATGACGTTCTCACACAATAACAGTTTGAATTAGTTTGGGTTGGTGGTGATAATACCCCTGGGTTCCTTAGAAAACTAGGTGATAAAATAAAAAAAAAATTCTGACAAAAATTCATTTTGATAAAAAAAATAAGTTAAAAATAATTTTAAATTTTCAAAGAGAAAATTCTTTTTTGAATTTATTAGACTCATTATAAAATTTTTGTGAAAATTATGTAATATAATTTGGTTCTATCGTTCTTTTTGAAATTTAAAATAACTATAAAAATACCCCAAAAATTATTAATAACTTCATTCTTCAAAAAGAATTATAATTTTTTTTTATAAAAATCTTAGTTTCTGTATGTAATTTTTTTTAATCATGAATACTCTTCGAACACGCAAAAAAAAAAAATCTTCTTTAGAAAAAATATATAAAAACTCCCATAAAAAATTTCCATGAAATTTTGGGAAAATGAAATGAAAGATAATGTTCATAAAGCGTTTTTGTTTTTGTTTTTTGTTTTTGGGGTATATCTTAATTAGATCAAGTATGGAATCTTGATAGATAAGATTGATACAAGTTTTTTGGTTCATTCATGAGCAAGCAGCTTAACATGGGATGCTTAAGTGAATCCATGAAATTGTTGCAGAGAGATTTGTGTGATGAAATCTAATAATTGAAAAAGTGATGAGATTGTAGTTTGTACACTTCCAGATCATCGTCACTCTGTGTTGGATCTTATCATATTCTCTTCTACCTTTTCATCATATTCCTCATTGCAATTATTAATACCCACACTTACATTTCATTCATTTCTCTCACCAAATTCAATAATAAATCAATAAATAATATCTTACGTCTCTGCATTAATTAATATCTCCAGATTAATTGTATTCATACGTTCATGTCCTCTATTTTATTTGTGCAAGCAACTTTTTTTAATTGTCATAAGGTCATACTTCATGTATATGCAGTTCCATTAATTTATTTATTGCAAATATTATACTTTTAAATCCCATAATTTTATTATTTTTTACTATGGTCCCTTGCAATATATTTATAGGTTTTTAATTGATACTCTGAATATGTATGTTTTACAATAACAATGAGGTGTTAAAACTACAAAATATATATAATAAACCAAAACTGATAACTCTTATATTTAATAAAATGTTGGAAAAAAAGGTAATGGCAAGAACTATATTTAAAAATATGTAAACAATAAATATCTAATTATGATTTTTTAACTATTAAAGTTAGCATAAAAAATTGAAATAAATTATACAATGTCGAAAATCATACTCTTTTTTTTGGCTTATATTCTTTGTAATCTACCATTCTTTTATTTGTTGAAACATGGTGATTTATTGTTAAACCTTCCACGTTTTGACCATGGAAAACTAGTCTAGCTAAAATTTTGTTTCACATGTCCTATTTATAGAGAAGAGAGAAAAAATATTTATTTTAATCTTATTTATATGACTTATTGATTTTTATGTCCACTTTTACTCTTTTGCCCCTATTAAATATTGAGAAAATTATTAAATGTTAAATAATTTTATTTGTAAAGTATGTATATTTAATAGAAGTAAAGTTATAAACTTATTAAATTTTTAGACATAGTTAATAAAGTTTAAGTTTTTCTTTTATTACAGTAAAATATGGTAAAAGTGACTTATATAAATAACATTGGAGGGAGCATATAAATAAGTATTACATGCTCATTTTCTTTTTAATATTAATCCTTTTTTTTTAGTTTAACAATTTACATGAGGACAAAAATTCAAAGGAATGGTTAATTTATGTATAGTGAAGAATAATGCATTCCCATTTTCACCATTGGACTAACCTTTCAAGATTAGTTTGGACTGATCAATCGAGAGAGAGAGAGAGAGAGAGAGAGAATGATGAGGAGACCAAAATATCATGTTTGTAGTGTTAATGGGACAAGAATTGTGGGAAAGAAGAAGAGAGGGACAAGAAAAGCTGAGACAGAGAGGAAGAAGGGTAGGAACCCCCATGTGCTCCGTCTTCTCTCTCACCATGTGCCCCCTTTCCTGTATTCACATGCATCAGTCAACCTCTCATTATTTTTATGGTCAACAATGTTTGAGACACACTATACTTCACTCAACCTCCATTCTCTACATCCTCAACAATATTCCTCCACCATGGCATCTCTCTCTCCCTGAAACTGACAAAAGATCAAGGATTTTATCTTAAAAGATTAGACAATCACTTTTGATTATATGTTTAGAAAAGTTAATAAATGTGCAGATTAGCTTGCTCTTCAAACATTTGATGATAATTAACACATTAAAATTTTTGATGATCCACTCTTAATGTATATAAATTGTATGAGCTTTGACATGACCTGATTGTAATCTCTTGTAAGGTTCTTTATGGCATTGTATTAAAAAAAAAAAAAGTGCATACACTGCAGTGAGAAAAAGAGAGACAAAGAAAAGAGTTCATGCTAGCCAGTGATTATGATATTTGAACTCCATGCTGAATCAGATCATATTATCACTCTTTTATTTCAAATGAATGTATAAAAACGGATCTTAATTTTCTATTGCAACAACACAACGTTCGAAGGGGGAGAGAGAGAGAGAAATTATAAGGGGTGCGTGGATGATGATTTTACCTTATTTATGGGGCCCATATTTATCTTATCCATTTATTTCTTTGCTTCAAGCACTGTGCTGTTACATCAAAGAGATAGAACCAAGAAGAGAGGATACAATTCATACTTCATCTTGTGAATTAGCACACACCAATCAAGCTCAATTGTTTCTGCAACCTTGGATTCATGTTTAATGCTTACTTTGAATGATGACATTTTATTATATTGCACTATTGTATTATTACTCAATTAATATTGATCATATTACTTGTAAAGACATTTCTTTGGTGTTAGTTCTTAAATGAATAAAAATGTACACTTTTCATTTACTAGATGGAAATAATACGAAAGTGAATCGACAATGAATTGATAATAATGGTTGATGGTGAGACCATGGATGGTAACGGGACAGAGTAATTATATCTAGTTGGGAGTTGACATTCTTTTGACTTAATCAAGGGAATACTTTGTCTTCAAAAATTTGCAATTATTCGTATTTAACAGTTTATATCTTTTATAATTAGTATTATTATTTTAATATAAAAGCACGTTCTTTTATTAATAAATTATTTTTTAATTCTATTTTGTAACTATGAATTCTTAAAAGCGGGACCAACGGCAAATAGTGATATGATCATAGGGCATGATTTGATTTGGACTTTTGAAGAAAACAAAATTGGGTTCCATTAAAAAAGAGTTCACTTTCAAAATCTGTTTTGGGCTGACAGAGTTTGCAAATTCGAACTTCAATTATATTTCCAAAAAGGGCAAAAAAATATTAGACCAAACACAATGTTCAAGCTTGGAATCATGCCAAAGGTCAGCTCAATTTCAAAACCGTTATTTTGGGGCCAAGATGTCCATGTTGGGTAAACATTTTCTGGGTCTTCTTTTGACTCCTGCCTTTCTTTTGTCTTAAGGCCTAAAAGCAAAACAGACTGCATTCATTTTCCAGTTCATTATTTTCGATTGTGCATCAATCTGGGAAATATAAAAATACTTTTGGGGACACATCTTTTTTTCCCCTTCTGTTCAAGTATCCTAAATCTTTGATTTACACTAATTCGATTGACAACTTATAGGTACTTTATAGACAATAGGGCTTGAATTCGAGATTTCTAGTTGAGCTGGATCAACTTCCTAGCTACCTAGCTGATCCAAACACCTAGTAGTTACAGAAACAAAATCACAAGCGAAAACACCATTACAATAATAAGTGATGTAATATTGAATTATGTACACATTCGATATATTTTTATTGAAAATCTTGATAGCAAGTGCTCAAGAATTTTTACCTAGCTTTTGTCCTTGGTAAAATTATCAGAGAAGAGTTCAAGGAATAAAACAACTATATACATAAACATGCGCATTGCACATGGTCTAACCAAAATTAGCCAGAATCAGCATATGCCTAAGAACGAAAAAAAATGGAATCCACCTTGAATTTGAAGGCTGAAGGGTACTGGATTAAGCGTGTGTTTGGGGTGGCGTTGAGTCACCTCAAAACGTGATTTTATGGAAAGTAGCCTTGAGCCACCCCAAACATGCTCCAAGACCAGCGAGTCAAATTTGGAGAGACAGGTCATTTTCAATGAGAATGAATCATAGGGGGAAATGACTGATGCAGCAAAACTGGCAAAACAAACGAATAAAAGAGAGAGAAGATAAAGTAGAAATTAGGATTACCGAAAGGGATGTAAATGAAGGTTGGCTTTAAAATTGCTATAATGAGAATGCAATAATGAAAAAGGCAATGAATAGTGATGAAAAAATACGTAGTTTTACGTAGCTGATAAATTCATAATGTTGAAGCTTTAATTCCAGTTCCACAAAGCAGCAGTTCAGTACTGCCACAAAAACTTTGTTCTGGTAGAATTCTGCAGCCCCACTCTTTCATTTCAAGCCAATGTCACTGTAAATGATTGTTTCCTTGTGTTTATGATTTCTTTCATGTAGAAAATGCTGCGTAAATCACCCAGGATAACGAGTTCAAGATTGGAGATAATTCACTTTCCTGCAGAACGTAGTAGTCAGCCTAACTTGAGATATACACCCACGAACAGAGTTAATTCAAGACTATAATCACTCGGATGTCCTTAGTTGTTCCAGGGCTTACTTCCCATATGATTTGAGAGTGTGTCAAAAATGAAAAATAACATACTTTTGAGAGGAGGCAAAGGAAAAGGCAACTTCTAGAAGCAGAGGCCAGTAATCAAGACCCCCATTTATTCCACTTTATCTTACAACATCAATATGCTTCACGCAATTTTCTTTTACAATGTATCATAATTAAAAACTGAGCGGATCTCAATTCTATGCAGAACATGAGCCCTGAATCATGTCAAACAACTGTGAAAGAGTATCAGTTGCTTCATCAACTAAAAAAATTGACACATTCACAAGGGTCTTTTCCTTTTACTTTCATTTGAAAAGAAGAAGCAAACAAACAAAAACTGTTTCCTTCTGTGATGCTGCCTGGTATAGTACACAAAATTTACAACTACTTCACTCTTAGATACAAGATTCTATAGTCATCAAACTATTTAGGGCAAATCCCCTAACAGAAAAACTTTTATGATTAACTATGGTTTGCTATGCATCACCTACGTCAACAACACAGATAAAAGGTAACGACAAGAATCAAACAGGAAAGAGCTCACAGAAGATATGTCCAGATAATTACTCATCTTGAGATGCAGATGACATCAAGTTATCCAATGAGTCCACAACTTGCCCTTCAGTATTTGACATGTTATTTGTGTTTGCTTGACAATTTACAGCGACAGGTTGACAGTTCCCTTCACATGGAATCATGAAATTTTCATTTCCACATATATCAACCTGAGATGGTAATCCTGCACGGTGATCAAAGCACTGAAAATTGGTCTCACACTGAAGACCAGTCGCATGGCCTGTGGGCAGCATATTGGTTTGCCCATCCTTAAAGATTGAAGAAGAGCTATTGCACTGCTTTTTATAAGGAAAAACACCCAACTCATTGTCAATTTTCCCTTTAAGGTCTACCAGAATGCTCCTCAACCTCAAGACCTCAGCTTCAAGAAGCGCATGGCCTTGTAGTTTCTTAACTAATTGCTGATTCTGCAGACGCAGTTTCTTAACTTCCTCCTCCAGGTGAGCTGTCTGTGCCTTCTTCTTCTCCCTATACTTTCGAACAGCTTCTCTATTACCCGAAGGCCGTTTTCTTTTTGAGTTGGTGTGCTCCTTATCATCTGTATGATCATCCTCAGATGCAATCACTTGGGTGTGTGTGTGGTAACATGTGTGGGTATGTGCTGCATCAGGGCCAGGAGGGTTGCAAGTGTGAGTATGGGTGCATGTTCTGGTGTTCCTCAAGAATTCATTGATTTTATTCATGGATGTTGGAGACTGAACATTGCTAGATGACTCTGGATTCGACAACAAGAAACTATCTGAAAGCTCAATATCTCCATCATCCATATTTTCTTTCTTTACTTTGAGTGATACTACTTAATGGTGGTTTGTCAACAGAAGAACATATCTGCAACAACCAATTTTAAAGTTAACAATTACTACGATACGGCAAATGAAAATGACACGCAAATGAGTTTGACTTTATGTTTATTCACACCAAACTCAGATATTTTCCCCAAAAGCAGAAACTTAATTATTGCCTTCAGTTGACATTACTCAAGGATATATTAAAAGAAGCACAGACCTTGAACAAAAATTTACAGTCCAATCTAGACATCATGACCTAGGATTCCAGAATCAGCTTACTGAACAATTCATAGATTATCCAGATGGATTCACTCCACCGTAATCCAGAATCATGAAGAAAGGCCAATTTTGATATTGAAATAATAATGTGCGGGGAGAGAATCCGGGCAAAAATAGGGACACGAAGACAGACAGATTATAAGCGCTGGAAATTAGAATCAGAATCAGAGACCAGAGCCAACAAAGGTACAAATCGATGAACAAGCTGAGAATTTGAAGCAGAACCGTAGACTCGGATAAGAAAAATCTGCTACTTTTAGCTCAAAGGAGCAAACAAACACACCTCCAGAAATCTGAATCGCCATGCCTCTGTTCTTCGGTCCTGGATTCTTCTAAACTTGCAAGTCAAAGGAACATGATGTGTTGATTGAGATTTTCCTACTTAAACTGGCCTTGGGCTTGGGCCAACTACGAAGCTCCATTAGTATTAAAGGGTGAGGATATTATATTAATTAAATGATTCTCGCGATTGTTAATTAAAGTTTTTGCTTTTATATTAGGGCTAAAATACATAATTTTTTTTTTAAAATTTAAAATAGTTGAATATAACTTTCTCATCTTAAAAATTTAAAAATAATCCCTAATTTTTAATTTTATTTTTTAAAACTTCCTATTATTAATTATATTATTTTTCATAAGGGTTAAAATGTTATTCAATTAAAAAATGTTATTAAAAATATTATATTATATAATTATTTATAATAAATTTTTATATTTTTTGAATAGTTGAGGTATTGATAAAAAAATTTTATTATCACTGTAAAATTTTTTAACTATTTATGTTTATATTAGTTTTATCTATTTTTTTTTGTTATCAATGGTGCATGATTTTATTATTTTAAAAGATAAATTTTTGAAAAAAATTAATTTTTTAATCCTTCAACTTTTAATTCACTTGTAACTCAATCATTCAACTATGACCCGCTGTAATTTAGTCCTTCAACTATAACTCGCGATGACTCAGTCTTTCAACTTTTGATTCATCTATAATTTGGTCCTTATTTTTTAATTTTTTTAAAAAAATTTCTTATCAAATAAGAGGGATAAAAATGCTCATATACTATTTTAAAATACCCTTCTCTTGTTCATTAACGTGAGATATAAGCTAACATGAAAAAAAATTAACAAAAGTTCAGGGACTAATTTGTAAGTGATTCAAAAGTTGAGAGACTGAGTCATAGGCGAGTTATAATTGAGGGACTGAGTCATAGCGAGTCATAGTTGAGGGATTAAATTATAAGTAAATTAAAAGTTGGAGGATTAAAAGATTAATTTTCTCTAAATTTTTATTTATTTTTTCATGTTAGATTGATGTAATACACATGGCTAAAATATTTAAAATTTTAAGTATTACCATATTAGATTAATTTATCTTTTAATAGTAGAAAACTATGCACCATTGATAACGAAAAAAATTAAAAAAACTAACACAAAAGTAAATATTTAAAATTTTATATGGTGATAATAACATTTACTTTGGCTATTATCAATGACTCAACTATCCAAAAAATAATAACATTTACTTTGGCTATTATCAATGACTCAACTATCCAAAAAATATAAAAAATTTATTATAAATAGTTATACAATATAATATTTTTGTTTAATAACATTTTTTTAGTTGAATGACATTTTAACTCTCATGAAAAGAATAACATAATTAACAATAAAGGATTTTGAAAAATAAAATTAAAAATTAGGGGGTTAATTTTAAATTTTTAAAAATAAGAGGTTATTTGCAATTATCTCAAATTTATAAATATTTTATGTATTTTAACCTTATATTAACAAAGTTTGGCAAATAAGACTTCGATCCATAATTGGATACTAAGATTCCATATCCAAGAGTAGGAATTATAATAAATTTCTCTTTGTCGCATTCAATTATAGTGTCTTATAACTGTTTGATCAAAGTATTATAAAATAAGGTTCATGTTAGGTATAAATAAATTTAAAAAAAAATTAAACTTTTAATCCTTCAACTTTTAATTCACTTATAATTCAGTCCTTCAACTATGATTTGCTGTGACTCAATCTCTCAACTATGACTCGTCTATGACTCAGTCCTTCAACTTTTGTTAATTCTTTTTTTTCATCTTAGCTTAGATCTCACATTAAAGAATAAGAGGAGGGTATTTTAGAATAATATATAAGCATTTCTTTTATCCCTTTTATTTGATTTTTTTTATTTTTTTTAAAAAATAAAAAAGTAAGGACCGAATTATAAATGAATTAAAAGTTGAAGGATTGAGTCACAACAAGTTATATTTAAAAGACTGAGTCGCAGTAAGTTATAAGTGAGAGACTGAGTTATAAGTGAGTTAAAAGTTAGAGGATTAAAAGATTAATTTTTTTTAAATTTAATTTACATATGGTTTTTCATAGATTGTATTGAAGATAAGATTACTTCAAGTATCTTGATCAACAAACACAAAATTATTACGACACAAAATGTGAAAATAACACGTGAAAATGACATGAATTGGAGTAGTAAGCTAGTAATTTAATTGGATTAGACTTAATTCAACTCAAACTTATTTAGATTGATTTAAAATACCCCAAACACATAAAAAAAATTATATAACTAAACTTGGTTTTAACATTTTGAGCTTTCAAGCTCAAATTATTAAATATTATTTTATTTTATATTCAACTTCAATTTTTAACTTTTTTTAATTTTATTTTATTAATAATAAACAAATTTTGAGTGTTCGGTCTAATTTCATCTGAGTTTGAGTTCGGTTCATATTTTATCAAGCTTATTCAAATGGCCCAAATATTTTTTTTAAAAAAATTCTCAAACCCAAAACTAAAATTTCTCCCAGCTTATTTTGTTTTAACTGTTGGTTTTCACGATCCTAGGGCGAAGAGGGAACAGTATAGCATATTGTGGGAAGTTAGATGACTCATCACTACTTTATTTGTTGAAACGTATGAAGGTTAATGGTTAAGATGCCAACATTGAGGCCAATGGGATTCATTGAACTTGTTGGACAAGAATGTTTTTATTTTAGTCATTCCAATCCTAAATTTAAGAGCTGGATAACTTGTCTACAGAGATTTAGAAAATTAGTTAATTTGGTTATATTTCTAAGAAATTTATATTGGTTTTAATAAAATACCTTTTAATAATTTTCATAGGAAACTATTCCTATAGATGAAAGTCTCCCTTTAATATGTGCAATCAATAAGATAGTTTGAGAAAAAAAAATTATAAATTAAAAGGTAAAAAAATATAAATTTAAAAGATAAATACATTGAGATCTTACATTTAGAAATAAAGCAAGCCCTACAGTAAGCTTCTAAATTTAAGAATTAAGATAGGAGGGAATAACATTCATCTATTTGAGAGTTGATAATGGTGACAAACAATAAGCTCTCTTGGATGATTCTTGGATGAGAAATGTAGTGATTTTTCCTAAGGCTTAGGATCAAAGAATATTTTTACCTTTCAACTATTTATTTAAGAGCATATGATATCTTAAAATTTATGGTGCAATTTTTCCTTTCAACTCTTGAAAATGGTGCATTGAGTATCATATCCTTAAAAAAGTTAACTTTAATTATTAGTTAATTTTATAATTATAGAAAATGATTCATAAAATTACACACAAGTTCCTTATTAAAAAAAATGAATTTCAATTAAGTCTCCTAAATTACATATAAAAAATATGATACAAATATGATTTTGTTGCCCATGTAAAAGGTGAAAATATAATTATGATTGACCATTATTTTAGGGACTTTATTGATATCAATTTCTTATAGAGTAATTGTTTACTATTTTATGGGTCATTTTTTATAATTTTTTAAGTTTTTTTTGGGTCAACTAATAGCGGAATGCTCAATATACCGTGTTCAAAAGGTAAAAGAAAAATTACACTACTACATGAAAATTTAGGATATCAAGTGCTATGAAAAAATAGTTTAGGAAAAAAAAAGCCATTTAGCCTTTATTTATTTATTTATTGAAGCATACTCTTGCTTCTATTGGATATGTAATTTGTTTAATTCTCTGCATGCAGCAACCATCATAGTAGCATCATTGCTGTGGACAATTTGCTGAAATTTCCAGTTTTCAAAAAGTTATTTGGTAGAAACCTAAGTAGTTAGCTTTGATACATGATCACATTCTATCTTTGACTGAATTTGGTCCCTAATTTTCTTCTAGTCATGAAATTCCCGAAATATAATTGTTAGTTTTTCTTGATTCTTAAGCATTAATGAAGATTAAAAAAATACAGGCAAATGTTCAGGTCTATGGCAGAATCACCTGGTAGACCGAACAGGCATACCAATGTTTTGAATTTTGAGCTTGAACCAAACTATTGTTGATAATTAAGATGCAGAAATTTCAGATTTCAAAACTCAATATCACTGTTCCTATTTCAGCATCACCAACAAAATAACACACACAATATCATGAAAAATCGCCATATCCTAGACCTTCCAAGAGGTTCCATTTCTCTGGACAAATAACCCAATTGGAATTTCCGTATTGATAGTCATGCTTATTGAACTTACAAGCCTTTATAAGCATGTCTGTATGGTGTCACATCGTTATCATATACATATACATATAGTGACTAGAAAATCCTGTATAAGAGAACCTTGAAAAGCAAGGAAGCATATTGCATATTCTTCCATCATGCATACTAAATAGAAAAAACAAGATCTTTTAGCATGGGGCGTGCTATAACAGTAATCCCAATAACCCAAAATAGGCACAATCCATGTTTACAACTTGTTCTAAAAGCAAACTAAAACAACTGCATTTACTATTTTTTTATTCCAACAAGAAGGGAAGTTGATGCCACAAGAATGAAACCTTTTGATTCCTCTTTGCAACCATAGAAAAAGAAGTCTTTGGAAACAATAAAGTGACAGTACGAGAATGAGAAAATCTCAGATATAGCCAAGATTCAATAAGAACGCAGATTTTGGCAGCTTTGAATGTACTTTGCCAACTGGAACAAAAGTTCCATAGAAGTTTTTGTGGTGGACGGATTTCATGTTGTTGGAGAGCTTGAATTCTCTCACCAACCTCCTAGCCTTCATAATTTCATGCCATTGGTGGCTTCCGATATTGGCTTCTACCCTTTTGGGATTTCATCACTAGGCAGTCCAGTTCTGCTGCTCAGCTGCCTTGCCTTGACAAGAAATCTGTCATCCTTCAGAGAGAAGATCAGGCCACTATTCATGTTCTTACCAAGAAATATGGACTTACTGCAAAAAGATTACTTGTTTCATATAACATGACAGCTAAGAAATGTCATTTTGCTATTTTGCATTTATCTCCTGCACTTATGTACACAAATATAAAACAGTAAACGATCAGTTAACATCTCCAAAA